TCTTTTGCCATGGTTCTTAAATATTTACAGTTGTTTAACAGAATCCATGATAAGATTGTTTTTATTGACTTCTCAAGGTGAAATGTTTTTATCTTTCTTTTTGTTTTTTTAAACAGAACCTAGAATCCATCAGCTACCGGTAAAAAGACCATGATCAAAAGATATTTCCATTAGGCAACAGGCTAATGTTTGTCTTATCAAATACAGGAGTTACTTTATCTATAGAAATGTAGTATAACATTGCCTTTGTGAAGAATGGCAAGTTATGTATTTTGTCTTGTACAAATCCTGTTTGTTTAAAAGACCAGGTACAAGGATTAATGTGTCGGAATCCAGCCATTCTGTCTGAAACTGAGACTCAACATTGCCTAGTAGTTTCTATAGCCAGCTATTGGGTCTAATGTGCAAATGAAGTACAACTTTACAAGGTACGTAGTGCTGCCAACCTGTTTTGTGGGGGATGAAGCTCTAAAAGAACGTAGACACATCTGAAAAGCAGGTTGTCTCCCATGTTGCTCTGAGGCAGTAATAGCTTGCACATCAACAAGTCTGGGTTTTTTTCTTTTTTGCGGGGTCATTTTTGCCTATCTGTTCGCTTTATTATTTATAAAATGTGTACACTGGTTTCCCTGGTTAATATGCTATAACCACTGCATCAATAATGATGACACATTACCCTAAACATATGGTTGATGTGAAGTAGGAATGAAAGGTCCTTGCAAACTTTTTAAATTTTAATTTCCTTTTTTCCTATGATTCAGCAAAAATATTTTTACTTTGAAACCAAAATCTACATATATGTAAAACCTCTTTAATGCATTACTATTTATTTATACAAATGTATCTTGTAGGGAGGGAAAACTTTTGTATTCAACTATAAGTTTTATTGGCATAATTTTCTTGTATTTTTCTTTCATATTTAAGCATACCACACTGTCACCAGCATTTTGCAAGTAAGTTTATATCATCTGACTGTTCTGAAGATGGATTAAGAATTTTGAGTAGGAGAAATTAGATTATGAGTGCATTAAAAGTAAATCAGCAGTCTCTCATAACTTTGCTTTCTAATATATCCAGAATGATGTTACAATTTAGGAGGAAATGAGGAGTAGGACTATATTTTTCACCTCTGTATATGGAGATTCTTTACATTTTTAGAGCCATGAAAAACTTCATTCCAAGGAACCCAACAGCAGGTACATTCCATGTAGGAATCTTGAATTCTGTGATTACGTCAGTGTGGATCCTCACCATGGCGGTAGATCGCCTCATGCACATAAAATAAGTTCTTTCTAATAGCAGTGTCCAGAGCTGTACATGTACCCTGCACCTCCATGTGCTCCTACACTAGGACATCCTCCAGCCTCTTATTTCATTCTCACTGCACTAAGACAGCACCTAAAGAGTGTCCAGTAGGCTATTTATAGTGTAGCCTAAATCTTTTTAATGTTGTCTACGGTTTTTCTACTTCTGAACAGGGCCAGATTAACGCATAGTCAAACTAGGCACATACCAAGGGCCCTAAGAAGGGGCCAGTTGTGCTTATTTTACATACTATAATTACTGAGTGAAAAAGTAATTTAAATATACAGTATTAAGTAGAGGCCTATGAGTTTGTTTGCCTAGCACCCACTAAAGGGTTAATCTGTCTCTGCTTTTGAACACTGTGATGTATATTGACCCATCTGGATTGAGTATTGAGGGCTAGTCCCACCTCTACTTCAGGGCCACTTGGTGGAGGTTTCAACCCTATTCTGATGGTTTCAAACCCTATCAATCATACAATAGATTTATTCCCATAAAAGGAGGGATTCAGCAGGTGTCTCTGTTTAGGTGACTCCCATACGCTGAGCAGATGTTAGGCGTGCTTGTCATTTCTCATGAGAATGTATAAATTACAACATAAAGTTAAATCTTCATCTCCTTGAGCAAACCAGTAAGGTCCCAACAGACCTAGAGAAAAATGGGCTGTTGAGAACTGCTAGCAGATGAGCTAGCTTCATTCAGTGTCCCATCTAGCAGACAAGTAATACCAAAAACTGTCCTGGAGAAGAGTGCACAGAGAAAAGACACAATACTGAAAAAGACCCCAACACTATTACTATAAAAGACAATACCAGCACTTTTAGCAGCAGGAGGGGAACAAAGCGGTAGGAGAAGCTCAGTGTTTTTCTATAAAGAAGACATAAAACCTTCAGAGAGAAAATCCTGGCAAGGTGGTGGGGAAACCACTTGACACCAGGAAAAACAAGCTGTTTATGTGGGATGTGTCCAGAGCTTTTCTCTATTGGCTTAAGGATCAAAACTCTCAGATTATCTTTGTCCCTTGGTATGTCTACATTTATTAATAGCCACCTTTCCTTGAACCAAAGGACTGAGAATGCTTCTGTCTCTTCGGTGCACTGTTCCTAAGTAGAGTCCCTCTTTCCAGGTAGTAGAGTACCTGGGGATCTCAAAGCCTATTTGGTTTCTCACCTCCCTAAGTGTCTTGTAGCTTTAGCATTAGTGGCATCTGATCCAAAATGCACAAAGTCATTGGTAGTCTTTTAATCAGCTTTGGCTGAGGCCCATAGGGCCTAAGAAAACTGTATATAACTTTAACTATCCCAATTCCCTGGGATGGGAGCCATAATTATAGGCCACAGAAGACCAGTCATTTGAAAGGACTTGCCTCTGCAACATTTTTATTACTTTTTTTGCATTAGCAGAAGGAGTGTCTCCCTGTTACTAAAAACTCTTATAATGTGCAGAGAAATAGGAATTCCAGATATTATTTCTATGCCTGAAACTTTGTAATTGCTGCTATTTGTGCTGAATCACAAGCTCTAAAAGCAAAGTGCCCACATCTTTGGATATTGGTTATGAGGAAACATTAGGTTTGTTCTAAGCATGTGTTAGAGCAGTCACATTTTTTCCAGTTTTTCGTTGTTATGAGAACGAAGTTTCTCCTTGCTTGAGAAGAGCATCTTATATGCCTTATATAGTGCTCCATTGGTGTTACAGTGACAGCAACATTGAGAAAAGTTTGGCACATCTGTAGTGTTTCTAGAGCCCCTCTCTCCATGTGCTATTGGTGGTATATGATCTTGATGTTTCATTGGCTCACCTCACAACTTTTTAAGGAGGTGCTATACGAATCGGCAGAATTTGGGAACCATTAAGGTGGAGCATTCTCTTGACTTTTCTCTTGAGCATTCTCTTTCTCCAGTACTTGAAATCTTTTAGAGCAATGATGGCCAACCTGAGGCATCGGTGATACGAGTGGCACAGGCAGCTGCTGTGTGCATGACAGATTGGGGAGGGGATAAGCAGCACAGTGACAGGTAGGGCAGGGAGCATTAAGCTGAGCAGTGGATCCGGCATGGGAAAAGGATCTGAGTGGTACTCAGGGGGGGTGTGGGGCTAATTTGTGGCATGCCTGCTGAAAAGGTTGGTCCCTACTGTTCCAGAGAACAGGAGATGAAGTTGCCCAGACTTCCTTTCTACCATGGAAATTCAGGTGATGCAACAAGTCAGCACAAAAATATTCTTTTAGAATTGCAGCTGGTTTGGCCAAAATTCAGATGGAACAGAATTTCACTACTGCACATTCAGTAGTAGTTATGAACCTAAATAGGATTCTGCTCATGCACCAGTTATTCTTCCTGTAATTTAACCCTATAGAAACGTAGAGTTTCTTTATGTGGCAAGAGGTAAGTTTTGAAATGAGGTATGTTACCCAAAGGAAAAGAGAGGTTATGGAGAGAAATGATGTGTAGTAGAGCACGACTGTGTTTGCTGGGGCCAGGCCAAGTGAAAAGTGGATGCATGTCAGGACTGATTAAAAAATTGTGCAGTGTAAAAGTACAGTGCTTTATGATGATGGTGGAATGATTGGAAAGTAATAAAAAATGCAGGTTTGGACAGAGCATTATTTTGTTTTAATCAGCTGTAAATCTAAATGAAAAAATATGCCTAGAACTAACTCAAAGTGATTCCAACTTAAAATTTAAAAAAATGTGGTTTAATCTATGTAACAGGTTTAAACTTAGAGTATCTTGGACCAAAATAATATGGTACTTCTCTTTGCTCCTAAATGAAAATAATACAATAGTGGGGATGATGAGAATAGATTTTGAGAGATATGGGACCTATTTGAAAATCACAGGTTGTTAATTTTTCATAATTACAGTTTCTCAAAAATTCTAGAAATAAATATTAATACATGTAGAATTCTAAGCAGCTACAGTATTTAAAAAATATCCCCCCTGAAGAAACCCCTGTATTATTTAAAACGTGTTTATCATAGGACATCAAAGAAATAATATTTTTCTTATTAAGTGATTGCAAGGGAAGTCTATAATAGTAGAAGGAGACAAGAAGACTAGTAGTTATAAGAAACCAGAGTTAACCTGTTGTTAACAACAGAAGCAGTAGATTGGTTTTAACAGGGGCAGCAACTTTTTTAACCATCCCAAAAGATATTTTCAGGTACTTTGCCCTCATCTTTAAACCATTTGCTCCTTAGGAATACAGGTGATTGGTTACTAATAATATGCTTACAATACAATAAGGCAAATCTGTTTGTGAATAGGACTTTTAATTAGGGTCACCAGGGAATGAAGACAAAAGGAGGTAAGTAAAGAGCCAGGGGACCTGGATTAAAAAACTAGGAAGAGGAGGCAATAAGTGAAGATTTAGCAATGTTCTTAAGGAGATATTAGTACCATTGACCTGAAATATTTATATACTAATTTGAGAAGCACAGGGGAAAAGCAGGAAGAATTGGAGGTCCTCATACAATCAAGGAATTAGGATGTAATAAGGATAACAGAGATGTGGTGGAATAGTGCACATGACTGGAGTATGATCATGGACAGGTACTCCTCACTTATTGTCCTGGTTAACATTGTTTCATTATTACATTGCTGATCTCTTAGAGAACATACTTGTTTAAAGTTGCACAGTGTTTGGTTATGTTGTTTGGCTGACGCCTGCTAGTAGGTAACTACTACTGATGTAATTGGATTTGCTTAACATCATTTTGCTTAAAGTTGCATTTTTCAAGAATGTAACTACGATATTAAGCGAGGAGTAGCTATAGGTATAACTTTTTCAGGAAGGACAGGCAGGGGAAAAAGAGAGATGTTTCTGTATATATAAAGGAGATGTGTACATATTCTGAAGGGTGATATGAGTAGGCCTGTTGAAAGTCTTTGAACAAAGGTGGGAGCAGACATTAGAGGACAGGATGAGGATTAAAAATGACATTGAGAAATTGGAAAAATAGTATGAATTAGGAAGAAATTCAATAAGGAGAAGTACAAAGTATTGTACTTGGGAAGGAACAGTCAAATGCACAAATACAAAAAGGGAGAGTCTAAGCTGTCTAAGATGTAGTACAGCAGAAAAAGGCCTGGGGCTTATAATTAGGGGTCTACTTAAATTACAGTTAGACTTTCCAATTTTTGCACGTTGGTCACGGCATAAAGAGCACATTTCATGGACATTCATAAATGTGCTTTGGTGGCCCCACCCCTTGGTGCTGATTGGTGGAGAGGCCCTGGGTTGGGGACGAAGGATGAGGGGGCAGCCGCCATCCTGACTGCTGGCTGCTCTTTGTGCAGCCCTGTGCCTGGACACTTATTGGCAGAGAGGCCCTTGAGGGGAGGAGAAAGGAGGGGGTGGCGGCCATCTTTTCTGCTTCCCTTCATGCCACAGCCCCCACTGGGGAGCCAGCATTTTATTTTTATTAAGTTTTTATTGTTGTTGTTGATTTCGTGGCTAATCTCGGATTCTCACGGTTTCCACAAAATCTGTAAAACCGCAATTTAAGTAGACTCCTACTTCTGCTAGTTTACAAGTTGAATATGAGCTGACAATGTGATAACATCACAAAAAGGCTAATAGCTGTGTTAAAAAGAATGTTGTATGCATGTCACAGGACATAATTCTTTCACTCTACTGTATTCAGCATTGGTAAAATGGTAAAACCTCACCTAGAGTACTGTGTCAGGTTTTGGGCACCACGTTTCAAGAAAGAGTCACACAAATTGGAAAGAATTTAGGGAAGAGCAACAAAATGATGATTTATGGGGAGAGATTGGAAGAACTGGGAGTGTTTAGTCTACAAGACTTGATAACTTAATTTGATAGTGTTCTTCAAAAGGTGTTTTTTGAAGATATGTACTGGACTTCAACTAAAATAAGGGAGATTTAGTTTTGATTATCCAAAATAGCTTGCTAATTATGCGAGTGGTTAAGCACTGGAACAGCTTACCTAGAGAGGTTGTAAAATATCCATTATTGGACGTTTTTAAATGCAGGTTAGATGAGTGTTTGTCTGGCATGGTTTAGCTAGGGATATTCCTGCCTTGAGTAGGTGGTAACATTAGTAGTCTCTTCTAATTTTTTTCCCTATGATTCTCTGCTGCCATCATAATGGGCTGCAAAGCATTCTTTGCCCTTTTGTTCCCCCTCTGTATGAGCCAAATCCCAGAAATTAATTGACATTAGCTGTTTTGGCAGAGCGTGCATGGATGTCAATAACAATGCCCAAGACAGAGAGGACTCTCTCATCACTTCTGAGAGTGGGAGAAAGGGAGATGTGAATGGTTAGGATATGCTTCTTGATGACACCCATGGGCTTGGCATGGAAGATGTGTAGACAAGTCTGTTGGTGCCAAAGTCCTTTTGTGAGTCTAGTCCTATACATTCATGTTAATTCTTAGTAACTGGATACAGAAATAAGGGGAAAGAAAAGCTGGATTTACTTACATAGTCTAAATATGAAGTATAAGGGAATGTAATTAAGAATCCTGCAAACACTATATTATGGACAAAACAAAGCAAAGCACAAAACCTTGGTACTGACTGTATGAAACCACGTCTGCTCTTGTATTCTTCCACGCTTGCATAGTAGTGAGTATCCTGGGGAAATCTGATCATTTTAGCCCATGTCTACTTTCCTGCCATTTTGATTTTGTATGTGGAAGAATGTCTTCTTTGTGTGTCTCTGTTATGATCTCTCTTCTTTTCATGGGCTGAATACTGCTTCTGTTTTCCATAAGTAGCCTCAGTGATTTCCAAATCCAAAAAAACAGACTCACCAGCCAAAGGCTGAAGAACAGCCTTCACTGAAATGCATCCTGTCTCCTAAGTGACTTCTCCTTGTCAGTGTAAACATCTGCAGAAATTCAGTTCTACTCGATTGCCCTCCTCTCCCTTGCTACCACATTCATTCTGCTCTTTAGAGTGTCATTCTTCATCCTTCCATTGTCCCAAGTCTGCAGATCTTTATCCTAAGGAGCAATTTAAATGTTGAATGCAAGTAGCAGTACAGGATTTTGTCCTCCTGGCTTTGTCCTTGAACATTTGCAGAGTTGATTTAAGCACGTGCTTGAAGTTCAGCACACTGCCATGCTGGGGTGATAGTTTTTAGTTGCCTTCAAGACTGAGTCCTTAGTTTACATCTCTATTTGTGTGTGTAATTAAGCACCACTGTGTACACAGAAAACACCATCAGAATTTAAAAAAGCCAGAGCAAAGACTGTGCTCACAGCTGTTGCACTGATTGCTGTCCTGTCTTTTATTTATGCTATTGGGTAGCTTTTTCCTTGTCATTTAAGATAACAATAGCCTGTACAGAAAATAAATCTTTACTATGAAGTGAAAGCCTGTTAATATTTTGCTCTTCAAATTCCAGACAAGTTCCTCAGATATCTTTTTCAGGCTATTTGTCAAGTGCTCCCTCTGCAACAGTGTTTTGGATTGCTTTCTGGGATGTTTATTTAATGGACTAAATGGACAAGGCTGACTAATCTGCTGTAACGTGTTATAAAAGTTCAGCTCTGTAAATGAGTTGCAGGGCAAATTTAACTTCTAAAAAGGGCAGACTTTCAGATTGCTCTCTTCTGAGCATTGGACTCAACTAGATTGCAGGGCTCTTGTTAAAGTCAATGGCAAAACTTCCATTGGTTTCACTGTGAACAGACCTCAGCTGTGTTTTTGGAGGGGGGAGTCAACAAATCTCAAGCAGGTCAAGGTCCACAGTAAACTCTGTTTAAATAAGTTTGCCACTGGAAACAGTTTTATCCAAAAGATATGAAACAGCCAAATTTTTATGTAAAGTAAAAATCAAGGGCTGAAGAGTTGCTTCTAATACTACTCGCTGGATTGCACTATACACTGACTTACCCTATTAACTTTTTTGAAATTAGGAATTTTGCAACATCTCATTTTTAAACAAATGTCTACTTCTGCAGTGAACTTTCTGTTGTATATTTTCATCCTACACTCTGCTTTGAAACACTACTTGGCAGATTTAGAATACAACAGGAAATGGAGTCAAAATGTGCACTCCTGGAGAACTCCAGTATAGTTTGCAAGCTACTTAAGAAAGTAAACCAGGCCTGGAAAAAGAGTTTATTAACCTCCTGCAGCTCTATTTACTTTATGTTCCAAAAAAGGATAAAAATCATTTACCTTAGAAAATTTACAAATGCACATTTATATTCTTGTTACTTGTTGGCAGGCAAGTAATAGTGACATTTGTATACAATTACCAGCATTGAACTGGAGGGATTCACTCAATTTAATATTCCCTTTTACAAAAAATTGCACCTGGGATACAACTGAATAGAGATTTAAAAAAGTTTGGTTTAGAGCAGTCAAAGTGTAGCCAGTTCTTCTGATATCTTTTATTTTCTTTTTGAAACGAGTTCTCACAACATACAGCTAGAAACAGACTTAATATCCTTCAAAAGGCACATGGGTCTATGTTATGAATTCTTTTAAAAGGTGTTGAAAAGATATTTTGCTGAGAACTAAGACTGTTATGGAATCACTGACGTTATTCAGTATCTGAAGTCCTAAGCCATTTTCTTTTATAAAACTAATTTTGATTTCCCCCTATTTTATATAAAAGCCCCTTTCTTCAGAATGATTCTCATGTACTCTTTGCTCAGAGAATAATTTATTTTGGGAAGTCTGAGGTTCTTGGACAAGTCAGTTATGGATAACTGAAGAAAAGGTGTGTTTTCATTAAGTTTTTTTCCGCAGAAATTTGTTCATGTAAAAACTTCAGTAAGAACTAGCACACAAGGCCTATTTTGTTTTTACCAAATGGGAGTGCAAAGCTTTAAGTTATTAGTAGTAATATTATCATGTGTTATAACTTTGAGAGGTCTGGTGAATGTTACAGACTCTACTTTTTGTCATCTAAGTTCTGATTTATAAAAAAGAAGAAAAAATTACCTCATTTTGTTGGGAAGCTGACTTCAAAATATTAAGTGTTTTTACTAGACATACATGTTTGCCACATTCATTTTTTTCATTATAAGTCACTTTTCACTTTCATCATAGTGTTTGGGGTTTTTTTCAAAATGTTGAAGACGTTGACAACTTCCTTAGTTCTTTTATTAATCTTCTGTCTTCTCAACTTCCCAAGGTGGAAGGTGGTTAGGGAAAGATGATTAAAATTAAGTTTGGTGCTAGAAACTTTACTAATTTCCTGAGTTTCTTATATAAGTACCTAAGGTATGACAGTTTAATTTTTTAAAAGGCAATATATTTTCAGTCTTAGTTTTAAAAAAGAATGTTTGTTCTTTTCTCTGGAAATAATATAACATCTGTCATGATTCATGTGAAGTCCTCCCTCCCCCTCCTCCCTCCCTTGGAAAGTACTCAAAACTTCATTGAGTGATCAAAGAAATCTTCCAACCAGATTCATTAATGTCAGTCCATTCTAGTAATACATTTGAAGCCCTTTTTAATACTATATTTACTTCATGTTTAGCACATATCTTTCCAATTATGAAGAAGGGGGTTAATGTGCTGAAAACCTTTTGGAGGAAGCTGTATTAAGGAAAAACCAAAACAGGAGTAATTTAGCCATCTGTGATTTGGCAGTTTGAAACAGTATCTTAAACACTTATGGCTTGTGAAAGGGTCCATTTTTTAATACTCCTCTTCTCTCCTCACCTCTTTTTTGCTCAGACATCTGAAGTTGAAGTCTTCTGAGTGTGGCACACTGGCTTAAAATTTTGGTATAGAAAATATATTATTTGTTCAGTGTTGGAAGTATGCTTCCTTTTTCAGACTTTAATTCTTTGGTGTTTGTATGGTTGACTGTCACTGATTCACGGTTGGTTATGAAGTAGCCAGTAGTTAAGTTGCTTTACTGTCCTTTTTTTATAAATAGCCATTAAATCAACTTGACTAATGTATCTGGTAGTATTTATCTTTTCTGTTCATGAAACCTGTGCTTGACTTTTTAATGAATTGCCTTTATTTTAAATTACTATCATATTCCTATAACTGAGGACTCTGAGCTATGAACATCAATGACAAAAGCTCAGTTACATGACATCATTATGAAGCTGATTATTGTTTTAATCAGTGGAGGTTGCATAGCCAGACCTGTCCAGTACTGCAAATCAATCTTAAATCAGTATTATAGACATTTATAAATCAAACACAAATTTATCTACTGTGCTAAGACCAGTGTACACAAGCTAACAACCCCTTTTTGATTCTTTATAATGAAGTAGTATAGTCCAGGGATGCTTGCTAGGATATCTGTTTTCAGAAGAATATTTTAAACTGTGTAATCGTGAGGGTAAAGGTGGAACCTACAGAAAATACATGACTTTGTACAGACTTAGAAATGAACCTTAAAGTACTCTGCTCAAGAACTTAAATAGATTATTTTGAGAAAGTTGAATATTTACCAGATGCCTATCAATCTGAAGACATAAAAGCCAGTTTTGGCAGAGGGATAGGAGGAGTTAAGCTTAGGGTCAGTGCCTTTATGAAAAACATAATTCTCCTGTTGCAGTGGATTAGGAAAGTCCTGGGATTCCTTCTAAGGCGCTGCCTCTAGAACAGTGGTGTGCAAGACAATCCATTGGGGTGGGGGAAGAAAATATTAGAACTTGTATTTCTATTTCTATTTATATAAATATACATATATTGGGGGTGCGTGCTCAAACATTTTTTACTGATAGGGGTGCGCAATCAAAAAAGTTTGGAGACCACTGCTCTAGAAAATGGATACGTACAGCCACTTACCAAACCTGATCTAGATTCACAAGGCATTTTTTAAGCTGTGTGAACACAGACCAGGACCACCGTGTATAGTTGTTTGCTGGTCCCAGGATCTGTGCAGGGAAGCCAGAGTAAGTAACTTGGGGGTGGTATGGTGGGTAGGGGAGGGGGGCTAGTAGGTCCACTGGCAGGGGTTGCTGGATCCACTGGGTCAGCTAAAAATAGCTCATTCAGGGTCAAAGGGGTAGGAAAAGCACAGCCCCATGGCTTTCCCAACCCCAGGCTGCACTCCAAATGTGTACAAGTATTTGATAGTTTGGGTTAATCCATTTCTATTCTAAGTTAGTTCACCTTCTAGTTATGTCCCTGTAAATGTAACATCTATATGTACCCAATGTGTATGGGCTCCACCATTTGTATCAGCTTCTGCTTGTTAACATTTTGAACTACCATCCCCTTCTATCTTCCAGAAGTAGGAAGAAGCTTTATGTCTTTTCTACCATCTGTGAAACGTGGGAACTTTTATCTCTTCAGAGCCAGCTGTCTGCCAAGTATGAGGATGGAGAAGTTGCACAGCAGAGATCATATTACTCTGTCACAGTCCCTGTATATTTTGAGTCCTTTTCCACAATGAAGGACTCCAGTCTGTGTTTTATAGTTTTCCTAAGCAGTGCACAACTGAGAGGATTCATGACAGTTTCACTGTTGCCCGTAGGATTCTGAACAGAAGTTCTAAACCTCTTCAGAGTTTTAATAGCGCTCTGCTTTTATCGGTTTGCAGATGTGAGATGAAAATACTGCAATAATTTATACTTGAAATGGTATCTTTACAGCTATAGGGCCTGCATTTTTCCTAAAAATCTGAAAGACTGAATACTGAAAAAATAGTTTATTCTCTCCCAGTTGCCTGGGAGAGTGCCCATTTGCCATTGGCTAGCTAGTGTGTAAATTTTTTAAATCTTGATTTTTAACTGGTGTTAAGTTGTCCAGAGAATCTACAGGACAGGAGATATTCATGACTCACTGCCCTAAATAATTTCATGGGTTGCTTTGTCTTATTTTGTTGCATTTTGCATGGCCGTTTTATATTTTCCATTATTGAGCTATGTGTGGCTTTGCTGGCAGAACTGTGAATTTCTCAATGTGCTCTTGCTAGTAATCAAATCTTGTTGCTGGTGACAAATGGGTTATTCAGCGGGGGGAAAAATAAATTTAGGAAAGCTCTGGTTACTGCTAGATCCAGCTATTTCTCAACAGGAAGGCATCTAAACAGCATTTAAATCTCTATTGTGCTCCCCACGCCCCAATAAAAATGAAATTAAAGAAGCAGGCAATAAGACTTTACATTTTAAAGACCTAATAACATCATGTAAATACTTGCTGAACTTGTAGAATCTCTAACAATTTGTGTAAGACATGTCAAATATTTGAGAAAATTCTAGAATTGATAGCACATTGTGCCTCTCCAGGAGCATTTTAGCTCATTTTCATGCAAATCAGTCATTATCAAGGACAAGTCTGGGACGTTGCATTTCAGTATCTTTTTCCTACTGGACTTAAATTTGCACCATTAGCACTTTATTCTCAATTTAGTGTTGAGTTTGTATATTAAAGCACCCAATGTTCTTGGTTGCTGATGGGTATTGGTGAGGTTGGATATAGTATTTGAGGTTATATAACTCTTTTAAAATAGTGTTGCTCAGCTTTTTGGCCCCATGGGCCAGGTAAGTGTCCTGGAGCTGGATTGAGCCTCATGTGCCAGAATTGCACTGCACGCTTGCAGCAGAATTGAGCCCCTCTCTGCCTCTGTGCTGGGATTGGGCTCCAAAGGCCTAGCACCACCCCTTCCCAGCCCTGCTCCCCCCACATCAGAATTGGGCCCTGAGGCCCAGCACTGCCCCCGACCAGCCTTACATGCTGGGATTGGACACCTGATCCAGTAACCAGGGTCCAGGGCTCCCCATGAGTCACGGTTTGAGCACTTCTGCTTTAACATCTAGGAGACTGCTTAGATAGCAATTACACTATAGATTTAGGAAGTCTGTCTGGTTTATGTGCTATTTCCCATACACCTTTTGTTGAAGCAAAATTTATATGAAAAGGTTAGGATCCTACTACACTATGTACTTTCAATTTTTGCTTTTTCTAAAGTGTAGATTATGAGGTTTCCTTCCTATTGCTAATTTCTGTTATGAACATGTTGGGCTCATACACTGTGTATGCATGTGTATGTACAGTATATATTTGTGGTTTTAAAAATAATATTCTCTCTCACTTTCATTATAGATGCTTTCTTTTCTGATTCAATTTCTGGAAACTAGTGAGTTGTCAAACAATTTTCATTATTAACTATTTCTCATTACCTTTAGCTTCTAGTTTGGGGCCCTCATAGTGCACATTATCACTTGTATGGCAGCCTCCATACTTTATATTCAGAGGTAATCTGAATGGCAAGCTGCCTGAGATCAAAGATTAAGGCCTACATTTTCATGTGTTTACCAGGATTGTTGCGTTACATTTTGATACAAGTGTCTCATGACTTCCCAATATGTAATATATTCTAACACGCAATAAGACAAGAAAAAGAACCAAGAAAATTCGTTAAGCAGTTAATCTAATTACATAACCATTCATCCTCTCAGATGGAAAACTGTGTATAAGAACACATTTTTCTTCTTCTTTTCCTGTTCATCTGTAGACACCATATCCTTATTTACTATGTTCATGGTTTAGAAACATAAATCCACTGAGTCAAAGGTTCATGAGTTTGCCCAATCTCCTTATTAAAAAAAAAAAAAATTCTCTCCGTGAAGGCTTGTCATACAAAATCACTTCTTTTTTAAATCAAGAGTTAATGTTACTTATTTTGATTAGTTTAGGACTCATAAAAACACTTGTTTTTATACAAACTGGTAAAATGCCTTTGGAAATGCATTGGCGTGAAAGTTGTTCCATAAATTTAATAATATGTAAAATGTTTTGTAATGTAGAGACATCATTTATAATATATGTATGTAGCCAGACTTGTATTGTTCTCAATCTGCAGTGCAATTACTTTGGCTAAAGACATTTTCAGCAATTTTGGTTAACAGTAAAATAACACTCTAGAATAATAACAACTATATGGTAATTCCATTTCCAGCATTACTTATGCTGTAAGATTATATTCCCATTGAGATAATCCCAGTATGAATCTGTTTTTGTTTCACACTTCCTCAAAACTTGCTAGAATTATTGTTTCAGATTTGTTTCCACCTCTAGTTTTTAGTAAGAATTTAATAGACCCTCAAGGCAATTACTGCAGTAGGGGGCTTGTTAATTCACCTTTCCAGGGGGCCATTGTCATTTTCTGCCACCTCAGTTTGATTACCTATTGATGTAAAATAAATTGCAGGTCATAAATAATAACAGAAGGCTTGTATGCAGGACTGACAATAGTCAGTGCAGCATGAACACTGAAGGAATTTCTTTAATGTAGCCTTGAGTGTCATCCCTGGTTTAGTTACCTCTGAAGACAAAGTGAAAGTCAATTTGTCACTGGTAATTTATAGCTTGAATTTTTTTGAAAAAGGAATTGCTCTAAGGAGCATGTGGCTAAAGAACAGGCCAGCATTGATGATGTGCCTTGGATGGTTTCTGACATGGCTTGATCCAGCTGTGCTGCAGTGCATAAATCACAGTTCTGTCAACAGTTTGGTCTTTACAGTTGTTAAGATAAAATACTTTACTGGTTAGGAAAATGCTCATCTACTCAGTGAACTTATAGATACAGTATTAAGTAACATATGCTACTTCAGTAAACTCTGTGGACTTCCTTTGGCAAATTTTCAGTAGTAGGAAGAATACGTATGTATGGGTAAAAATATATATAGTGTCTAAATTATGAAGGGTTTTTCTAAAGGATAACACCACAATTTTGATTTATGTGATCTATGTGTTCTTGGAGCCTTTATCATGTTATGTCATCTGAGGAAAAGGGAAGCAGTCCACATCCTACATACAGCTGTTCTAACTTTTTTAGACTCAAGGCACCCCTTGAAAAATGCCAGTGTTTAGTTTTCTGTAATTCCTTGACTATGGAAAAATCATAGAGCAAGTTTTCTGTTGCAAAGAATTCAAACATCA